ATGTCAAAATAGTGAGGAAACAGTGACAAAAGTCCACAAAGGATTCAAGTAGTCGGCATGAAGCCCAAATATGGCAATAAGCCCAAATCATGATGATAACGAACAAAGTCTCAGTCAAATACGCGGTTAAAAACACCAATCGAGACGGACCAAGTCACAATCCCAATAGTAAACAACCCCGCGCTAGTCATTAAGCGCGTGTTTCACCTCAATATAGCACTACATTGTTGAAAATCCGGGGTTTCAAACCCTCAGGACATCATTTACAATCACTACTCACCTCAAGCCGACCAAAACTCTAGCTCGCTATTGCCCTTTGCCTCTCAAATCGCCTCCTCGCCGTCGAATCTGACCAAAACCATAACGAATACGTCAAAATAGGCTAAGGGAAACAAAACCCAAACGAAAAACATTCAAAAATCCCGAAATTTGCAAAACCCGAGCCCCGGCCACTTCTCGAAACTCAAAAATTTTCACATAAACGGGTTCTTTATCTCGTCACGAGTACTATACATATCAAGAACTCTCAAATCCAGGTTAAAATGGTCCATTCAAATCCCAATTTAAGATCTCAAATTTCCAAGCCCCTAGTTCTCCCCCTTTTAGCTAAGTTTTCATGAATTTCTAGGTTAATTCCACAATTAAATCATATTTTTAGTTCATAGAACTTACCTCCAATCGATCCTCTTCGAAACCCTCTTCAACTTCTCCCAAATAGCTCTCAAAATGTTCAACAATGGAGGAAAAATGGCTTAGACTCGCGGAGGAAATGCTTTAAAAACCCTTCTACCCAGCTGTGATTTTCTTCTATGCGAACGCGATGGCCCTCTCGCGTTCGCGATGAACAAATATTCCTCTGACCAAAATTACCCTTCGCGAATGCGTCTGAAGACTCGCGAATACGAAGCTTCTGCTTCCTCCACTACGCGAACGCGATGCACTTAGTCGCGAACACGCTGAACAAAACAGACGGGGGCCCAGGCCCTTCTACGCGAACGCATACAACTCCCCGCGAACGCGAAGCTCAAGAACCTCTCCCTACGCAAACGAGAGACCCAAACGCGAATGCGAAGCACAAAACTCAGAGCACCCAGACTCCTTCTACGCGAACGCGAGGTCCTTCTCGCGATCGCGAAGGCAAAACTGGACCTGCACTGCTGCTGCATTTTCTGCAACATTTTCCAAGTTCCAAACTTCCCGTTAGCCATCCGAAATCACCCCGAGGCCTCCGGGACCTCAACTAAAAGTACCAACCCATCCTAAAACATCATCCAAACTCGCTCAAATCATCAAAATACCTCAAACAACACCAAAACCATCAAATTACATCAAATTCAAGCCTAAGTTCTTCAAAAACTGCTGAAACACGCATTCGATCAAAAACCCAACCAAAACATCTCCGAATGACCTGAAATTTTACACATACATCCCAAATCACCTAACAAATCTACTGTAATTCCGACCTTCGGATCAAAATCTCACCTACCAACCGGAAATTGCCAAAATACTAATTTCGCCAAAACAAGCTAATTTCTACACCGGACCTCCAAAACCACTTTCGATCACACTCCTAAGTCACAAATCATCTTCCGAAGCTAACCGAATCACCGAAAATCACATCTAAGCCCTCTAACACACAAGTCAACATCCGGTTGACTTTTCCAAACCAAACCTTCCTTAAAGAGACTAAGTGTCTCATTTCCTACCAAAACCAGTCCAACTCAACTCGACTGCACATGACACGGATAATGAAGCATAAGGAAGCATAAAATGGGGGAAACGGGGCGGTAACTCATGAGACGACTGGCCGGGTCGTCACAAGGATAAAGCTGTTAGAACATGCGCAGCGGAAGCAAGCATACAATCCAAGCATCAAATACATGTAAACTAGACAACGCAATAATAACGAGATTAGAAGCACTAACATCTTGAAATAGTTGCACAGATCTTCCAAACATCAAGAATCTATGGTTGCAGTCCTCTGCTATTTGCCCAGTAAAACCTTGGACGATTTTTGCTTTTGGGTGGGCAAGAACAATACAACTCTAAAAAGTGAGTTATTGGGTGAAATTAGTCTTACTTTAATAGAGTTATTTTTGGACGAAGTTGTGCTCCAAAAACGTGTAGGATTCTCCTTCTACAAGTAGAATCCTACTCCAACTCTATTAGATGACTTTTCTCCCAAGTCACTTTTTACCCAAGTCTTGTCCAGGTTTTTACTAGGTATTGCAGGGACCACAGAAATAATAAGAGGTTACCAATTATAGCATTAATTCGAAATTAGCATGAATTAATTCTTACTATAATTAATTGCAATTTGTTCCACTAAAAAACTACAATTGAACTCCTCAATATGAATTTCGAAGATTCAATAACACTTATTTTAACTCCCCAAGTTAAGATCTCAAATACCAGTTAATTAAATTAAATCACTGATAAATTTAATTTAATCAACTAATTAAAATCCTTTACAATTCCGCTTAAACTATTTCATGTGACGGATACAAAATCCACTGGCGGGGTTTTCACATACAAACTTATAAGCTTACATAAAGGGGCATCATCAAACTCAAAACCGAGTCATGGATTCTATCAACTAATTATTATTCACAAATGTTTATTCGTTATTGTCCAATCTATTAGGCATACACTTACTCTTAATAGAGTCGAACCTTTTGATAAATCAAAACAATAAACAAATTACATTGATCATAATAATTATATCAAGATTAGGAGTATAAGCTCATTTAATGAATTAGAGAAAATGTTTTATATATTCAGTACAAAAATATCTTTTCTCTACTTGGTCCGTTCAATATACACTGAGTATACTAGCACAACAAGTTGGAGTAAAACTACTCCCATAATCAAGACAAAGTATACGATAATCTTGTGCTACAATCATCAAGATATTTTGTCCAAGAATATCTTTATTGTGAACATAGTTTATTAATTATGAGAACCAACAATTTAATCTTTTGTGCATGAGCTAAGACTCCATACACTAAATTGTCTACTACATAACTAAAAGGACACACATGTAACAAATGTTCTTTTTAAAATAGTACTTTATTGAATTGAATAAATTAAATAAACAATTGTTCCACAAAGAATAAAATATAATACTATGTCTAAACCGCATGGTTAATAGTGTATCCCAACAATCTCCCACTTAGACTCATAACCATGCATCTACTACTCTAACACCCATTCCTTCTACATGCTTGTAAAAAATCTTCTGTGCCAAGTTGTTTGTAAACGGGTCTGCCAAATTGTCCTCTGACTCAATCTTCAATACTCTTGCATCACCTCTCTGAGTTATGTCCCGAATTAAGTGATATTTACGCTCAATATGCTTACTCCTTTTATGGCTTCTTGGTTCCTTCGAGTTTGCAACTGCACCACTATTGTCACAATAAGGTACAATCGGTGCTTGAACCGAAGGAACTACATTAAGCTCTTTCAGAAAGTTCCTGAGCCAAACAGCCTCTTTAGCTGCCTCAGATGCAGCCGCATATTCGGCTTCCATGGTGGAATCAGCAACACATGATTTCTTGATGCTCCTCCAACTTATGGCTCCACCTCCTAAGGTACAAACATATCCTGAGGTAGATTTTCTAGAGTCTCTATCTGACTGGAAATCTTAATCAGTATAGCCAATGGGTGCAAGATCACCTGAGTGATACACCAACATATAATCCCTAGTCCTCTTCAAGTACTTCATTATATGCTTAACAACAATCCAGTGTTCTCGACCAGGGTTATACTGAAATCTACTAACCATGCCTACAGCAAAGCAGATGTCAGGTCTAGTACATAGCATAGCATACATAAGACTCCCTACAGCAGAAGCATAAGGGACCGCCTTCATCTTTTCTATCTCATCAGTCAATTTTGGGGACTGATCTTTTAACAAAGAGATTCCATGTCTAAAAGGGAGAAACCCTTTCTTGGAATCTTGCATGCTAAACTTGGTGAGAATAGTATCAATATAAAGTGCTTGGGACAAGCCTAATATCCTTTGCTTGCGATCTCGCATAAGCTTGATCCCAAGGATATGTGCTTCCTGTCCCAAGTCTTTCATATCAAAACGTGAGGACAACCATTCATTTTCTGAATTCAACATGCTCAAATTATTTCCTATGAGCAAAATATCATCTACGTACAACACCAAAAATGTAACTTTATCTCCATTACACTTCTTATAGACACAAGACTCATTTTCACAATGATCAAAACTGAAGGTTTTAATCGATGCGTCAAAACAAGTGTTCCATGCCCTAGAAGCTTGTTTCAATCCATAAATTGATTTCTTTAAATTTACAGAACATGTGCTTATTGCCACTTTTTATGAAGCCAACTGGTTGTGCCATATAGATGCACTCATCAAGACTTCCATTTAGAAAAGCGGTATTGACATCCATTTGCCAAATCTCATAACCATAATGAGAAGCAATGGATAAGAGAATCCTAATGGATTTAAGCATGGCTACTGGCGAAAAGGTTTCCTCATAATCGATCCCTTCTTTTTGAGTAAACCCTTTTGCAACAAGCCTAGCTTTAAAAGTTTGCACTTTTCCATCCACTCCTCTCTTTTTCTTATAGATCCATCTACAACCTATGGTTTTGACTCCAGTAGGTGGTTCTACAAGATCCCAGACTTGATTGGAGTACATGGACTCCATTTCAGATTTCATAGCATCAACCCATTTATCAGCATCTGTATCATGTAGTGCTTCATCGTAATTAATAGGTTCTGTATTAGGCTCTTCAGGGATTCTATCATAAGATTCTCCCAAGAGCGCAAACCGGAGAGGTTTTCTAATAATTCTCCCACTACGACTAGTCACTACAGGTGGAGGCTGATTTTGTTGTTGAATTATAACATCATTTTTCAGAACTGAAGCCTCAATGTTATTCTCCACACCTTGCGGTGCTGAGATATCATTAACTTCTTCCTGGAGTGCAGGCTGCATAATAATTTCAGGTTGTTCAACAATCTAAGGTTGCTCAACAATCTGAGGTTGCTCACCAATCTGAGGTTGCTCAACATTACTACCACTACTTTGTGGTAGTGAGATGTCAGGCAATTTCTCTTGTGTAATCTGCTGCCTATTGACATTTCTCCCACTACGATAATGCAGTGGGATGTCAATACTGGCTTCCGGGATACGTTCTAGAGATGAGTCTTTAGTTACTCGATTATTTAATTCCTGTAAAACTAGTTTACTTCTAGCAATATGGTTCGTTAGATATTCATCTTCTAAAAATCTGGCATTTGTCGTAAACCTTCTTTTCTTTGGGATAATAAAAAAAACCGCCTTTAGTTCCTTTTGGATATCCAATAAAAATGCATACTTCTGTCCTTGATTCCAATTTATCCGCTTTCACTTTCAGCACATGTGCTGGACAACCCCAAACCCGAGTATGCCATAAACTTAGCTTGCGCCTAGTCCACAATAATACTGGAGTTGAAGGTACTGACTTTAAAGGAACCAAATTTAGAATGTAGTTTGCTGTTTCTAAAGCATATCCCCAAAAGGAAGAAGGAAAATCGGAATAACTTAACATTGATCTAACCATTTCCATAACGGTCCTATTTCTTCTTTCTACCACACCATTTTGTTGTGTTGTTCCTAGTGTTGATACCCAATTTTTCCCTATATATTTTAAATATGCATAAATACCTTCAAAATAGCATATACATGCATATATAAACATGCACAAGGCTTTCATTATTTTTTCCATAATTTTAAGGGTTTAAATTGCTTTATTTTCTCCCCTTTTATCCATGAAATCCCCTATAAATATTTCTAAAATTATTATTCTGATAATACATTTATTTGATTTCTATACCTATGCCAAAATATGGCTAACGTTATTTTTTATGTATTTTTAACGCCCCAAAAAAAAAATCGAGGAGCACGACCGGCGCTCAATCGAGTGAACCCAACTGAGCAAGCCCTACCAAACACTTCCTACCCAACTCGATATGAATAAGGTAACCATGCTTTCATTCATTTATTTAGACGAGGAAAGAGTACATTCTACATTGTTAGTTCACTTTAAATCACAACGTTAAACCGTGGATAAGTTCCAAGATTCCATGCAAATACAATTACACTTTAGAGAAACGAGAGTTAAAATTTCAACATAGTTCGTAGACCCACCCATCACTCGTACATAACCCACACATATGTCTACGGAGCCTCTAAGGATGTATAAGACAAGTATGATAATGCCGGCAACAAGGCCCCGGCTATACCTCAAAAGTAGAATTCTATAACAAAAGATGTGCAATATAACCCCTTGAAGGGGAAAGGGGCTCACCAAGACTTTGAGAAGAAGGATGCTCCGCTACACACGATCGGCACTATCCGCTATGGAGCCACCTACATTCATTTAAAAATGTAGCGCCCCCGGCAAAAGGGACGTTAGTACCATGGAATAGTACTAGTATGTACAACTAAACACCATCTAATTAGAAAGAACTTGTATACACAAATAAGGAAATCACAAGTATCACTCAAAAGCTTTAAGCAATCACAACATTATCAACATAAAAGAAACGTACAATCTTCATACCATGTTTCCATAGCCTTTATTTTGGGACATTTCATATTATTCAACATTTGTTCACATTACCACCACTATCTAGAGCGGAGTCCGATCTCGACCCGATCGGCTAGGTCGCCTCAATTGAGACGTTTACTTCGATCACAAACACATTACCACCATGAGCGTGACATGGTGTCCGATCTTGGCCCGATCGGCTAGGCCGCCTTACCATGGCGTTTCCATTTTCCATCAATTATCTCATTTCGATCTTTGTTTCACATAAATCATCTCATAGGCACTTGGGGCCATAGCTGTCACATCATATATTTGGCACTAGGCCACATTTCACACCATTCCCAGTTTCAATGATAGATTTGCAATTCAAGATAATAAGTGCCCACAAGAGAAACTAAAATTGTAGGCATAGAGGAGACTTCACATAGATGGCACAACATATGCAGCTTCGATTTTAATTTAAGGTCTAAGCATTTCAATTCATGATCCATAGTCCTTGCACCTTTTCAAGTTATCAAGAATAGCATATTGATCATACTGAGACATACTTTCCATGCATATGAGGTTGCAATACCAATTCAAGTGAAATAACAATCAATACAACAATTCAATTTTTAATCTTACCGTATTCACACGACCACCAATAAAGCTCAATTTCTAAAAGACGGGGTTTTAGCCATACATACCTCAACCGAGCTTTCCTTAATCCTATAACGTTCCGGAATGTTCGCACTTCTATCTATTTAAGCAATATAGCACAATTCAACTCATAATCATGAAAAGATCATAATCTAAGCTCTCTTGAGCATTTTATCGAGCATTTAGTATTCATTAAGGCCTTATGGTTCTTTTATGAAAGATTACACTAGCCCATTACCCATGCCTCTTTATTTATAGTTCCCCATATTCTTCAAGAACACATGCATGCAATGCAATCCCCCTTATCCCCATGAATTACCTCCCTAATGACCCCTTGTAGCTATGTGTAAAAATTAGAGCTGAGGTGATGAAGTCTTACCTCTTGGGATGAAGGTTTAGGTCCCTCACTTGATTATCTTCAATTATTTAACAAGGAATCATGGAGTAATTTTGATGGGAAGCACTTTCCCTCTCTTGGACCCCTCACTCTCTCTCTAAAAGTGTCAGGAAGTAGGCTCAAAATGAGCTATTGCACAGGATATAACGACAGGGGGTCGGGTTTAAAATTTAGAAAACTGGAGCCCCGACTCAGGTCGTGATCGCATTTGTGATCGCAAAGTTGACATGCGGTCCGCATAATGGACCGCAAAAATGCTCCCCAAAACTGAACACACTGTTTGGGTCTGCAGCAGGAATGCGGTACGCATACACGTTCTGCGGTCGCATAATGCACCGCAGAACTAACCTTTACAAAATCCTAAGGAAATTATGCGATGACTATGATGTCTGCATATTGGTTATGCGATTGCATAATAGACCGCATAGTTGACCTCAAATTAGACCAACATACTGACTCACTCTGCGGCGGATATGCGGTCCGCATACCTGATATGCGACCGCATTCTCGACCGCATAATCACAGTTTTCTGCAAAACTTTAATTCTTGACTTTTTAATGCATAGATCAGTACAAAGGGTCCGAACCGCAGCGAGCTTGCTCGTCGCGATGAATTTAACGCATTTCTAACACATATTCCTAATTTGGCACTACGAGATTTTGAGTTTTTTTTGGGTAGAAATTTTTTCACAGGGCCTTACATCTCCCCCACTTAAGATCATTCGTCCTCGAATGAGGATCAAGGTTCACTTACTAGCAGTCTTCATGCAATCTTCTGCATCTTTATAACCTAAAACATATTAATAGTCTCCAAATTTGACTAACTCCCAAAATTTCCAAAATATTCGCCAGAGTTTCCTTTGTATTTAGGCGTATCCACCTGTCAGAGGGCCCCAGAAACATATACTAACAGCATAAACATATTCCATAGACATAATATAACTTGTACCACAACCATGGCCGTATAGGCAACATATATAACTGAAATGGAACAATTTTACATAGATTAAATCAAAAGATAAGAGTTTATAGGAACCAAATGCATAAGAGCTATTACATGACTATTCGAACAAATGCGGGTACTTCTTTTTCATTTCATCCTCAGCTTCCCAAGTGGCTTCCTCAACTTGCTGGTTCCACCACAACACTTTCACGGATGCAATTTCCTTATTTCTCAATTTCCAAACTTGCCTATCAAGAATGGCAACTGGAACTTCTTCATATGACAGCTCTTCATTAACCTCAATCGTTTCAACTGGAACAATAGTGGACGGATCTCCCACTTTCTTTCTCAACATAGACACATGAAAGATCGGGTGTACCAATGACATCTCGGGTGGTAGCTCGAGCTTGTATGCCACCTGACCAATCCTCTGAATGATTCTGTATGGTCCGACATACCTCGGACTCAATTTTTCCTTCTTTCCAAACCGCATGATACCCTTCATAGGGGAAACCTTCAAAAATACCCAATCATCTTCTTTGAACTCTAAATCTCTGCGACGAACATCCGAGTAAGACTTTTGGCGACTCTGAGCAGTTTTCAACCTCTCCTTAATAATCTTGACTTTCTCCATGGCCTGATGCACGAGGTCCGGCCCTATCAATTCCGCTTCTCCAACCTCGAACCACCCAATGGGAGACCTGCATCTCCTACCATACAATGCCTCGAATGGTGCCATCTGGATAGTAGCATGGAAGCTGTTGTTGTAAGAAAATTCTGTGAGTGGCAAATGGTCATCCCAGCTACCTTTGAAATCAAGAGTACAAGCACCAACATGTCCTCAAGCGTCTGAACAGTCCGCTCTGCTTTCCCGTCTGTCTGGGGGTGAAAAGCTGTGCTAAGATTTACCTGCATTCCCAAGCCTTGCTGAAATTTCTTCCAAAAGTTGGCCGTGAACTGAGCCCCTCGATCTGAAATGATTTAGACTGGAGCACCATGCAATCTGATTAGATCTTTGGATGCTTACGGGGTAATGAGTTCTTACAGGTATTTTGCAGCAATGCTCTTGGGTTTTGATGACTTGCTTTGCGTGGTCGAGTTATAAATATTTAGTCCTGACAGGTTTGATTTGTTCAAAGGGAACTCGGAGAGTTGTTGATGGTTTTTACCGCGGTTTGGAGGTGTATATTTTCTATGGGCATGCGGAGCATGGGATGTATAGTGATTTTCCTTCTAGATGGGACCAATGGAAAGTTCTTGACTAGCTGAGTATGTAGATGTCTGTGGCTCGGAAGGGAGGTGAAGTTCTCATGTTATCCTAGGATGGTATGGTATATGCGGTATGTTGTGAGGATCAAGATTTGCGTGTGTAAGGTTACAATTTAGTTCTGAAAGGAAGTTCATAAAATTCTTAGACAACACGAGCAGCTTTCAATGATCAGAGGAATGATCTTCAGATGATTAAGGAAATGGTATTGCTAATTGGAGTGATTTGACGAGGGTGTATGCTTCAGGAAAGGCAATGTGGTTAAGTTGATGGTACCTCGGTAGTATTGCGACACTTTCTTGTTAGATCGACTGCAAATTATCGGGTTTGCTTGGTGGCAAAGGGGGAAATCTAGAGAATCTTTCGCGGAATGATTGGGTATTCGAGGTGTGGCATGCATTGGACGGCGGAACTGGGATCAGGTATGATGATTCGTGTGCTATATGGAGTTGGAGACTGGGAGTTCTCATGATCAGACTATGTTGTGGTTGTGGATCGCGTGTATCGGCACTGTTTAGTAACTATCGGAGTTTGGAGACCCGAACGGATATTTTGTGCTGAGTATGTTAGATTTTGGATGTGATATTGGGTTCAGACTGGTTGTCTCCGTGTTGGGTTATTCTGGACTATTGCGCTATGGGCTATGCCAGAAATGCCATGGATTGAGAGGCGATGTGCGACGGATTATGTCCTAGTAGAGTGGTTTTATATTTCAGAGACCCAGCGGACGGCTGGGAAGGATTGCCTTTCTTATTTGGGCCTTAG